TCAGGATGGTATCACATACCTGTAAAAGATACATCATCAGCTTTAATTTGCAATTAAGCTATTTTGATGCAAGTGATCCTGACTGACACATGCCTATGTCCAACTCAAGTATATGATTACCAAGGTGCTGATTGTTCAGGGTTTTGGCTACATACTACCAGGCCTGAAAATAGTTCTAGGGGGAAACACTGACAATTACATCACAACTTACCTCTATAGCCAACCTCTGTTGTTCTCCTGGTCCCAGCATCTTCCGTCGCTTGATGGGCTGTTGCTGCTCGTCAGATGCGCTGTCCCCACACAAAGAGGGAATTGAGGCCCTGGGTCCAAAAAATAAAGTTTAATTTGATAACTTGCAATCAGACTTCTTAACTCACTGTAATTCCCCCTCAACACACAACCAGTGACTTTTATAAAGTTAATCTTCAATAACAACTAGGCCTCTTCTAGAAATTGACCTGGTGGACACCTGAATAATTATTACAAACTGTGTAGTACTTTCCTGCATTATTATCAACGTCTGATTGTGTCTTCTCTTTCCTTTTAAAATACTAAAACAAATATAATTGTGACGGCTCTATGATAATCACTCACTTTGATGACCAGACACATTTAGGCTTTTAAACTGTTGTAAGTGAACTATTCATCTTTCTAACAACATCTTTATCAGCCAATAGTAAATATAGTTATTTACCTGATTGTTAGCATGCTGTCTGTGAACCTCTGGACAAGTGCTTTAATGAAGACAGGGTCGATGTTCCTCTTCTGCAGCTGGCTGAAAAGCATGTCCACATTTGGCATGATCTTGTGGAACAGTGCCAGGAAAAAACAGAAAGCCTCGTCTTCGAGCATCCTCACAAAGCCCCCCGCCTCTCTGACAGTCGGGGCATCAAAGTTCCCAGAGTCTCTGATGGTCTGGAAACACGTTAGGAGGTCATCCCTGTACTCGTACACAGTGTTTACAGCGCGACTGTGGAAGTTCCACCGTGTTGTAGAGGCTCTGGGGAGTCTATGCGCAACCACTTCGTCAAGCACGGTGGTTCGCTTGGGAGACCTGGAGAAGAAAGCAGAAAATCCTGCAAGGTCGGAAAAGAAAGTGCCGATCCTGGGGATGCGTGAAGTAGCCTGCTGCATGATGAGGTTCAGCTGATGTGCATAGCAGTGGACGTAGTGCGCATTTTCGTACACATCCACTATTTTACGCTGCACTCCGCCGGTGGCTCCCCTCATCACACTTGCTCCGTCGTAAGCCTGGGCAATAAGTTTGGCCTTTTGTCCATGTGAGAGTATGGTGCTGAGCCTCTCCAGCAGCGCTGTAGCGATGGTGTCGGCGGTTGCGTTCTCGATCAAAATGAACTCGAAAAAATGCTCTTGGACGTTACTTTTAGCATCGATGTAGCGTATCACAAGCACCAACTGGCAGTGGGTGGAAACGTCAGTCGTCTCGTCAGCTTGAATGGCGATAAAATCAGCACTCTTTACTTCCTCCAGGATGTAATCCTTAAGCACTGACAGCATACAGTCCAACAGCTCGTTCTGTATCGTCTTTGACGTGCCCTTAAAAAACGGTAGCTGTCTTCAGGTGCTCCTCCAGCACACTGTCGAGGGAGGCAACAAAATCCACTAAGCCCCGGAAAATGCCGGGGTTGTCCGAGGAGTCAGTCTCCTCGTGCCCACGCAAGGCCAACTCAAAAGCCCCACAGAACTTCACACAATCGATAATTTTGGATAGAATGTGCCTGTTTTTATCCACCTCCTCATTGTGTTTCCTCACCGCAATCCTGTGGCCGTCATCCAGCTGCGTAGCAATGTTCACCCTTCCTAATACAGCTAGCTTTACAGAGTTGTCCATGTGTGCCCTGGTGTTCTCATGTTTCTTTACCTTCTCTGACAGGTGCTTCATATCCCTCACTCCAGTACCTGTCCATGCTGAATCTGACCCCGTCGTTTTAAAAACCAAGCACGGAAAGCAACATAAAGCATTAGCATCAGTGCACCCAGCTAGCCAAGCCTTCCTGGTGTACCAGCTACGGGAGAAGCCGCGCATATACTGCTTCCCTTTCTCGCTAGCCTGCTGTCTGATTGAGAGGTCAGGTTGATCTGGGCCCAGCTCTTTCACCCGAACTTTCTCTGACAAAGTTCTCCTCTCAAACGGATCTTGGAGGAGAGATTTCACCGAGTTAGGGTTGGGTCTTGGAGGAGTAACGTTTGCGCTCGCCGTTGTCGTCTAGTAAAAATGGCGCCACTGGAGCCCGGTCCTTATTTTATCAGGGGCGAGCTTGGGGCGATAAAATAATCGCCCTCCTTGGATTCGAATTAAAATCGCTGATTAGCTACATTTTATGTCATACATTCATATCTTAAATTAGCAATTGGCTTAACTGCTACGTAGACCCGCCTCCTCGGGGCACTTTCTGTATCGCCCAGAGCTGACGAGGCGTTTGACAGGCAGAGGAAAGGTTGCGAATATGATTTTCTATCATATCTTACACATATTACTGTGTGCATTCCATATTTCAAACACACAAATATTGACATACTGATGTTTTTATTATTATTATTATTATTTTTATTTTTATTTTTAAAAATAATTTTATTTAAGGGGGCGGCGCCCTAGCGCCCTCTATCGGCCAGCCGCCACTGGTTATAGGGCTATTTTGCTTCCACTGGTCCTCGGGCCCTTGTTAAGGTCAACGGCATCATGAACTTTACCCAGTACCAGGACATTTTAGCCAGAATCCTGGTTGCCTCTGCCAGGAGGCTGAAACTTGACCGCAAGTGGATCTTCCAGCAAGACAATAACCCCAAGCACAAGGAAATTGTTATTTGGCCACAAAATCACAATTTTACAATTGCCATCTCAGTCTCCAGACTTGTAAACAATTGAAAACCTGTGGTTTAAATGAAGAGGGCAGTCCATACGCGCAAATGAAGGATATCAAGGATCTGGAAGGATTCTGTATGGAGGTATGGTCTAAGATCCCTCTTAATGAGTTCTCCAACAGATAAAACATTTTAGAAACAGGCTCAGTGAGGTTATCCTCGCAACATGAGGTATTGAAAGGTATTGAAAACAGGGGTGTCAATAATTTTGACCCCTACCTTTTTGAGAAGAAAAAGTATTCCTTGTTGTTAAACCAAATGTCTTCCTCTGAGCAATTGTATTACTATAAAATAAAGTCCCCATTTTTTGGAGCACACAATATAGCTCAGTATTTGAATTATTTATTTTATACAGTCATTTTTGCTAATCTTTATCAAGGGTGTCAATAACTTCAGACCCCATATATAGCCTACTCAATGAAAACCATTCTTTGTTCAGTGAAAATCCAAGCCTTTACCATTAGTTTCCAGTAGGCTAGTTTTATGGCTCACCCCAGAGTGATGTTATTAGATGGCACAGCGACTACGTGAGCATGATGTAATCAATTTACAGCATCTAATCATTCAAAAAGCATGGCCAGGTAGGATTGGACATGGAACATTAATGACATTAGCTGCAGGGCCAAATATGCAAAAGCTAGCCTACTCTTGACAGCAAGTTGAAATGCCAGAAAGTCTGCTCAATAGATTTTCATGCTATGGCCAAGACTACTTTACTGCTTCTGTTCTGCAAATCTAGTATCATAAATATAATATAATATAAAAGTAATCCTTGGTAACACTAGCACTTTATGTTGCTGTAGTAATGTTACCACTAGCAACAACATATTAACATGTTTTACCTAATCATTTTGTATTATCGCCTGTAGGCTGCTATAACATGGCTGATTCTGCCCTCTCATGGCCATAAATATATAACGTATATTAGGCATAATTTAAAAAGAGGAAAGGGGATTTACGGTCAGGTTTGATTCCCATAGACTAATAGTTTGGCATTTTGGCAGATTTGACTAGTCTCTATCCACCCAGTAACACATATTTATATTTTGTTATAAAAAATATAGATTCGATGATACCTCTTCTTTTTTTTAAAATGGTGATTCCATGAGCTGAATCAGAGATAGCCCATGCATAGACACTAACTACCTTTGGCGCCTATTCAAAATAGTATGTTCTGGCCGGGGGAGTTTTGTTAAGAGGCCCGGCGCTTGCTCTAACCATTTTGATGTGATATGATAGTAGAGGGCTTTATGTTTCTTGAAGTGTACCGCAATTGAGAATCGATTCACGTCGAGATGGAGTATTTGGCTGTCAGCGTCAATTCGCCTCTAAACAGAACATGTAAGGTCATTGGACTATAAGGAGTAACATTAGGCTCCTTTAGTCCATTGGGCTAAATCAGAGAAGAATAATACAGTATTGAACATCATAGGCTAACTGTGAAAAATACATTTGGGGATTGCATTCAAACCGGCCGCCAGTGCTCTCTGCTGGAAAAAGTATTGCACTGAAACTCCTGCAGTTGTGTTTACAATTAGTAACTGTAAAGGACTTCACGCTGCTTGCTTAGCGAGTACCACTTCCTCCCGATTCGGCCCTTACCTGGCTCTAATTCGGGACCTCTGCCTCACAAACACACGTGAACGCCCTCCTCAAGACTGAGGAGTAATTTTCACACATCGCCATGTGCTATTTAAGCATAAGTAGGCTATATTAATAGGCCACTGAAGTTTTACTTCCATATTTGTAATAGGCCCATTCTAAATGCTTACTTATAGGTCAACTCATAGACTACAAAACTTGTAGCCTAAATCGCCATATTGCAACATTAGATTAGGCTAGGCTGTCTGTTTTAGGCCTATGAAATGGCCTCTTGCCTATTCACTGAAAAATGAACTCCCTATTTACTTAACTTGTAAATCTCCCGGTTGTGACACACTAGTTTAGAAATAGACACACATGAAAGAATGGTACGGGGAACATAGGTCAAACATATCCTGTAAAACCAGGGAGACCACAGCGTTTAGTGGGTGGTTGTAATGTAAGCGCATACCACGCCCTTCGGGGATTCCCCCATGTCAGCGCTGAGCGCTTACCCTATCGCCTTACATTGCTCACATGCTCTCTACTATGTAGGCCGACCTCAGGTTATGAGGGTATCAAAGTTATTTTAAAGACTGTTTCTGATTTTAAGACTTTTGATGGTTTGAACGAAATTGCCCATTTTGCATGTAGGGAAGCTTTTCTACCATTTATGCAGTGTCGCAAGATGACTTCACTTATTTTCATGTAACTGCTGTTGTGCGGGAAAAGAAAAGCGTTCGACCCGGTGGCATGAAAAGCAACAAAGGAAGAGTAATTTCCTACTCAGGTGTGATCGACTTTTCCTCCGAGGACTGCTCGCACCATCAAGCAACAGGTAGTCCTTTCAGGGTTTAAACCAGCCAAGCCTACCCCGAGTGACTCCGGACCAACATGGCAGGCGCTGAAGATGCGAAGGGGAAAGTGGATTTGTTGGAGGATAACCGAATAGACTCTGGTGTTGAATCCTTCCAATCTTTTACGAAAGATGACCCCTTTAATAAAACGGTACGGGATTCGACTTCTGAATCCAGTGAAGCCAGGGACAAATTTAGCAACAACACAGAGGAGAGGTTAGATTCTGCTTATGGCTCGTCGTCACTAACTGTTGAGAATTTCAGTGAGATTATAGAGGGCTGCAACATTTCGGAGTCTGAAGATGACAGTGCGGAGAATACAGAATTTGAACATAAAGAGAACCTTCTCACCAGCATCACTGAAGATGGAGACACGTAGGCCTAAGTTTTTTTATATTTACATTTTTAAACTAATACATATTTTAATGTATCCTATGGCTATGTTCTTCAATAAGTAAAATGTGTCCATGTTATGGTGAAACGATGTATCAAGAAAACACGCATGTGTGCAATCGTAACCGTGTTTATTTTGCATTTAATTGACACATTTTTCAATATAGATAAAAGTAGGGCCAACCGTAATTTGAGTTTAATTTTCCTATCTCCTTTAATCCCAATCACTGTATCCATAATGACATTTCACAGTCTAAAATGCATAGCATAGGCTATTGAGTTACCAATTGGGCCATGATTACAGTTTTATCAACCAATTTAATCCTAATGCACAATGTGATGTCTGCTCTACCCCATACATTTGTGCTTATCCAAAAACCAACCCTTCACCCCAAGCCCCTAGAGATGCTCCCAGATACACCCTGCAGATCTGACAGAATTGGTTTGGTGTTGCTATTTGGTTGTCCTCTTATGGGGTTTCAACTGGCCATGAGAGCATAGACTAAAATTACCACTGTCATCAAACAGAATATGTTTTCTTTGACATCATCATGTCTGGTGGGATGACTGGATGTCTGAGTGTGTTAACCACAATAACAATTTGAAGATGGATGCATTTTTGTAGGCTAGGCCTACTGCACGAATTTGCAGCTTAACACTCAAGCCACCCACAGTGTTGCAGCTATCAATTAATAAAAGGCTTGGGGGATAGGTAGTAGTTTTGGCCTGCGCTGGAGAAATTCAGCTCTTTCTTTGCATGTGTCATTTTAATCCTATTCCCAATCATTATAGCATGTGATGTCGACTAAGAAGAGATTTTAAGTTTGGAGTGATACACTCAGGCCTGTGAAAGCTGTCATGATATGATTGTTGATGTGTATGGACTCCTGTAGGGTGCCTCGACTTGGAAAGCAGAAGTGTAAGACATGGCCGTGGAAATTCCCCATGATAGAAGGAAGGGCACATGTTCACGTAGTACTTCTCTCTCTAGGTCCGATAATAGGCTGATCAATGAAATTCATACAATTGTCACACACGCAGTCACAGACGTGCAGACTTTTGTCCTTATCGGCCTTCTACATGTGATTTTGCATTCCACTCATCGTCTTGGCTTTGTCTTTGGAGTCCGTATACTCTGAAAGATATTGTGTTGATCGCTATCAATTGTTCAAAGTCATAGTGAGTCTGTGTAACGATTCCATTGATAGAGTAACAGCTTTTTTGTCTCTGACCTCCTTTCATATCCTCGCTCTCATTGTCTAACTATGTCACAAGGAAGCATTCTCTAGCCTGCACTATAGTTACCGAACAACAGAAAGAACCCACAATACATTACGTCAATCGTCTGACTTGAGAAAGTATCATGGTGCAGGCATTTAATTTCCCCCATGGGATTTTTTTATTTGTTTTATCTTACTCAACCGTTATTCAAACTAGTAAGTCCCATTGAGATAAAAAAAAATACGTATATTTTCAGAGGAAGATCTTGCCAAGAGATGCATTTTGCATTTGAATATAGACCTTGTACCATTCAAAGTTGAAAGAATGCTGGCAAGCTCTGTAGTCTGGTCCCAGATCTGTTTGTCACACTAAACATTGACCATAGGAGTTGGCAAGACGGCACAAACAGATCTGGGACCAGGCTACTGGCTCTGCTTTGAAGAGGAGTTATTGGACAATAATCTCCGGTTATAAGGGGTGACTGTGACTATAGTGACATACTTGTGCAAGTAAATGTTTGTTTTTTTAAGTTGCTTTTTTTATATATCAAATGGATTGTCTTAAAATGAAGTCACAAGATAAATTGATTTGCCTGACGACATTTAGCTTGGAACAAGGTTAGGCTAAACAAGTTACTACTTTCTCATCAGTTAGTTAGGTAGACAATGAGTGGCTCCCAATTGGCACCCTATTCCCTATATAGTGCCCTGGTCAAAAGTAGTGCACTAGGTAGGGAATAGAGCCCTGGTCAAAAGTAGTGCACTATGTAGGGAGTAGTGTGTGAACAATGTCTTCTGGAAAGCCTTGTCGTAGGTTAAATATAGCACGGCGGTGGCCTTGTTCCATTTCCTGCATTTGGCTATTTTATCTGCTAGAACTTCCCCTTTAGATTTTGGGGCAAGAGTTTCTTGTTGCTGTTGTTTTCCACTTTGTATTTATCAAATGTCATGACAGTGTATATGGGCTGCAGTAAAGAACACAATGCATTGCATTTGCTATTATAACGGAGTAGTTCAAGTCCATAGGCCTGAGCCTTGTGTTAGCTGAACATTCGGCAATAACCCGTTGGTTCTGTTTGTTCGATCTTAGGATATTATCCAAATAACTTGAGTTCAGTTACGACGAATGACAACTGAGAAGATAAATATTTGAAAAGTGCTTTGTGGAATCAAACATCCTCTTGACATGACTATCCTTTGCATAAAAGTTCCATTATTGCGCAACATTCACAACCACTGAGCACTGTGTGGCCTACTAAGCAGTTTTCATTTATGGGATGCTATGTGCTACATTTCCAGGTAGGTCTAGATGTCGTTCTAAGAATTCTCAAGCAGGTAATTCTTTCCATCACATGATGAAATCCATTTATTATATCCTGTGGCTGCTCACATGTAAATGTTTAAATTAAAGTAACTAGAAATGTAATGAGAAACTTTTCCACTCTCCCCAGGCTGCTCACTTTTCAGTTGAATGCAACTCAAAACTGCTTTTGCTTGCTGTGCGGCCTAGGCTGTGTTACTGCAAAAGCACTTTGTGACAACTGCAATGTAAAAAAGGCTTCATAAATGAATCTGATAGATGTATTATTTACATTTGATAAAAAAAAGTTTTGTTTTTGTCGCCCCCTCCAGACTCCTGCATTTAGCCATCATCCATGAAGATGAACACTTTGCTCGTCAATTGATACAGCTGTTCCCCAAAGATGTCTTGGACATCCAGAACAACTTGTACCAGGTACAGAAGACACAGCAACATCCCCTTCTCTTTACAGCCTGAACACGGGGACTGGTGTACTGAAACTACTTAACCTTCATGATCCTTCCTCTTGACGATTGCAACTGCCAATGTTTATGATAACAACAGAGATGATCCTGTAGTTCAAGAGAAGTATCTTCCCTGTTCTCCAGTAGTACATCCTCTTACTGGAACGGGTTCAGTGGGTGAGAGGGGTTCTAGGGTTATTTATCAAATCAAATCAAATCAAATTTTATTGGTCACATGCGCCGAATACAACAGGTGCAGACATCACAGTGAAATGCTTACTTACAGCCCTTAACCAACAGTGCATTTATTTTTAACAAAAAAAGTAAAAATAAAACAACAACAAAAAAAGTGTTGAGAGAAAAAAGAGCAGAAGTAAAATAAAGTGACAGTAGGGAGGCTATATATACAGGGGGGTACCGTTGCAGTCAATGTGCGGGGGCACCGGCTAGTTGAGGTAGTTGAGGTAATATGTACATGTGGGTAGAGTTAAAGTGACTATGCATAAATAATTAACAGAGTAGCAGCAGCGTAAAAAGGATGGGGTGGGGGGGCAGTGCAAATAGTCCGGGTAGCCATGATTAGCTGTTCAGGAGTCTTATGGCTTGGGGGTAGAAGCTGTTGAGAAGTCTTTTGGACCTAGACTTGGCACTCCGGTACCGCTTGCCGTGCGGTAGCAGAGAGAACAGTCTATGACTAGGGTGGCTGGAGTCTTTGACAATTTAATAAGGGAGTAAATTGAAATTGGATACTCGCCTGCTTTCCCATGTTCAAAAACAAGAAATCTTATCTGGAATATTTTTGCCTCTAAGGCTGAGATTACACAGGCAGCCCAATTCAGATTTTTTTTATCTTCACTAATTGGTCTTTTGATCAATCACTTATGATCTTTTCACATCAGATCTTTTTCATAGCTGATCTGATTGGTCAAAAAAACAATTGGTGGAAGAAATATCAGAACTGGGCTGCCTGAGTAAACGCACAGTGCATATTTTAGAGGAGGTTTGAGTGAACATGAAGGGTGTGGGGTGTAACCTGTCACTTACAGGGGCGAGGGAGGTATGAGGGGTGGTGAGGCAAGCTGACGGGGCGTTAGAGAAATCCTGATGGGTCGGAGAGGAAAATGTCTAGGAGGGCAGAAATGACAGTCAGCATTTTGCACCGTGACTCACACACATATAGCCTTGTTCTATCTTTGTTCTGTTAGCATTTACCAAAAGCCACACAAGCAATGGTGGCCCTACTGGTTATATTAGTCAGCCCTACCCAGTTCAATCAGCAGTTTCATATTGAGATGCCTCAGGTCTAACAATGCATTTTTGCTAATCACCTCACTTGGCATTAAAGAGTTGAACTATTCTATAGTAAAGATCAGTCAAAGATACTAGCTACTGTACTTAAGAACCTATATCGGCTTTTAGCAACGCTGATTGTACTCAAATCACTTTGAAAGAGGGTCCATACTGACTCCAAGTCAGATATCACTGTCAATGTTGGGTGGGCTGGCAGCCATATTGAGTGTACCATGGGAGTTATTATTTTCTATGCATGTTCCCAGACACCGCTACACCTAGCCACCTACCTGAGCCTTTCTTCGGTGGTGCGGGGCCTGGTGGAGAGCGGGGCCAGCCTGGAGCTGCAGGACCAGGAGGGGAACACGCCGCTCCATGTGGCCTGCGAACACGGCCGGGCCGAGTGCGCCACCGAGATGACCCGGGATGTCTCCTCCAGCAAGCTGGACCCTGTGCTGGAGTCCCAGAACTGGAGAGGTGAGAAAGCAGGGCCCATATTAATTTGTCACCAAAAGAGAAAAAAAATGACTGAAACAGGGAGGGACTACCTTGACATCTGTTGCAAAATGTTTTGCTACGGTATGCACAAATGAAAACAACTCTGGGCCACCTTTAGTAGGCAAATGTGTAACGTTGCAGATAGAAATGTCATAAATAGAGCTGACGCAATGCCTTATTCTACATGTCAGGGATAAATGTTCTACTTAATGTATTTCTATCTGAACATTCCATAACGTTTGCCTACTTACCAGGGCCCAGGATGATCAGCTTGTAGGCAGTGTACAAGGCTATAACAATACCATGATGTGATGGCTCTTTATTTAATGTAACTTCCTGTTGATGTGTTGGCGTCTTCAGCATGTCGGCGTCTATGCGAGGATGTGCCCACCTCACGTGTTGTGTTTTATTGCAACATTGCACTGTGCGAGACAAAATTGGTGTAAATTAATCATTGTTGCTGTCTAGCTAGTTTTCGATGTTTCCGGCTTTGCAGATGTGTATCATGTTTATATTTGTAAACAATTGTATATTTTGTTCGATATGTAGGTTATGTGCATGTGTGTCACGTGGCATGACCTTACCGACTCTTGTTTGATACTAGCTATAACATCTACTCAAATTCATCAAATCCCACATTCAGAAAGGTGGTTTTTGAAAGGAATATGTTCTTTTTCAGGTCTCACCTGTCTCCACCTAGCCACTGTGAACAGGCAGCATCGTCTGATGAAGCTACTGATGAAGAAAGGGGCAGACCTCAACCTCCAGGTTAGTCCAGTGACTCCCCCGGGTCTACTCCATTACAATAACCTCCCTATGAGCACTAGATGTTGAAAAGACGTTGAGAAAAGTATTTCCGGTCACAAAATAAAATAAAATAAATGTTATCTAACTAGGCAAGTCAGTTAAGAACTAATTCTTATTTACAATGACGGCCTACCAAAAGGCAAAAGGCCTCCTTTTGGGGGCTTGGATTAAAAATAAATAAATAAATAAAATATAGGACAAAACACACATCACGACAAGAGAGACACCACAACACTACATAAAGAGAGACCTAAGACAACCGCATGGCAGCAACACATGACAACACAGCATGGTAGCAACACAACATGACAACAACATGGCAGCAGCGCAACATGGTAGCAGCACAATGAATGGAACAAACATTATTGGGCACAGACAACAGCACAAAGGACATTGAAAATACCTCTCAACCAATTTTGCTCACTGGGCTTGTATTATTGACGTAGTGTATTACATTGTGCTATAATACTGTAGTTAGTACTTTTTTTTTTTTTTTTTATTTTTTTATTTAACCTTTATTTAACCAGGTAAGCCAGTTGAGAACAGGTTCTCATTTACAACTGCGACCTGGCCAAGATAAAGCAAAGTAGTGCAATAAAAACAACACAGAGTTACATATGGGGTAAAAAACATAAAGTCAGAAATACAACAGAAAATATATATACAGTGTGTGCAAATGTAGCAAGTTATGGAGGTAAGGCAATAAATAGGCTATAGTGCAGAATAATTACAATAGTATTAACACTGGAATGCTAGATGTGCAAGAGATTATGTGCAAATAGAGATACTGGGGTGCAAAAGAGCAAAATAAATAACAATATAGGGATGAGGTAGTTGGGTGGGCTAATTTCAGATGGGCTGTGTACAGGTGCAGTGATCGGTAAGGTGCTCTGACAACTGATGCTTAAAGTTATTGAGGGAGATAAGAGTCTCCAGCTTCAGAGATTTTTGCAATTCGTTCCAGTCATTGGCAGCAGAGAACTGGAAGGAATGGCGGCCAAAGGAGGTGTTGGCTTTGGGAATGACCAGTGAGATATATATATCAGTGAGATATACTAACATACAGTTAGTACTTCAATGTGTCATTGCTAAATCCTCTTAATTTGTAGTAGGGCAGAGAAATATTTACTTCGACATAGATGATCAAACTACAATTTACTGTCTTAAGTGAATGCATCATGTCATAATGAGTGCATGTGATACATTAATGAGCACATGGTATTTATTTAGAAGTATTTAGAAGTACAGAGTGTCTCCCTCAAGCTACGTACTTCACTGCTTTACTGTACTCCCCTGTCTACTGCACTGGTGTAGTGATACTGATAGTGTAATGGCCCTGAGCTCAGCGCGTTCTGATAAATTAGAGTTTGATGTACTGGGAGCTTTATCTGGAGCAGCTAGACTTGTCAGAGAAGAGGCCCGGGCCAGCAAGTCTGAGTCACATACAGATAGATATAGAACACAACATAGCAGGCTGACCTAACCCTACCCTAGATATCATTCTGTGCTAAATAAACCTGCTGTACAGGAGATATCAAGCTGCCTCATTTTATGTTTTCAGTATTTGAATGAATAGAAATTATATTGAAGAGGACAGTTTATAAAATGTCCTAAGATTTGTTGACCCTTTGCTCCCTACCTTTGCGCCTTTCCCTCACCCCATCCTATTTTTGAGGGGACATTTTATTTATCGAGTCCCTCACCCTCGCCTGTCTTCTCTCTCCCGCAGGAAGGTACGAGTGGTAAAACGTCTCTCCATCTGGCAGTGGAGCTCCATGACATTGTCTCTATGACGCTGCTACTGAACAAGGGAGCCGATGTGGACGTGGCGATGTTTAACGGCTGCACGCCACTTCACCTCGCCGTGGGCCGGCAGGACGCAGCCATCGCCAACCTGCTCTGCCAGTCCGGGGCTGATAAGCTGCTGAGGAACATGGAGGATGAGACAGCCATGGATCTAGCTGGCGGCAATGATGATGTGAGATATACAGGAAGGGCCAGTGTCCTACACACAATCCTCCATTGAACATGCTTTTTAGTCCAGGACTATAGTTATAGCCTTAATCTACACTATATATACAAAAGTATATGGGCACCCCTTCAAATTTGTGCATTCGGCTATTTCAGCCACACCCGTTGCTGACAGGTGTATAAAATCGAGCACACAGCCATGCAATCTCCACAGACAAACATTGGCAGTAGAATGGCCTTACTGAAGAGCTCAGTGACTTTTAACGTGGCACCGTCATAGGATGCCACCTTTCCAACAAGTCATTTCGTCAAATGTCTGCCCTGCTAGAGCTGCCCCGGTCAGCTTTAAGTGCTGTTATTGTGAAGTGGAAAAGTCTAGCAGCAACAACAGTTCGGCTGCAAAGTGGTAGGCCACACATGCTCACAGAACGGGACCACCGAGTGCTGAAGCGCGTAGCGCGTAAAAATAGTCTGTCCTCGGTTGCAACACTCACTACCGAGTTCCAAACTGTCTCTGGAAGCAATGTCAGCACAATAACTGTTTGTCGGGAGCTTCATGAAATGGGTTTCCATGGCCGAGCAGCCGCACACAAGCCTAAGATCACCATGCGCAATGCTAAGCGTCTGCTGGAGTGGTGTAAAGCTCGCCGCCATTGGACTCTGGAGCAGTGGAAACGCATTCTCTGGAGTGATGAATCACGCTTCACCATCGGGCAGTCCGACGGACAAATCTGGGTTTGGCGGATGCCAGGAGAACGCTACCTGCCCCAATGCATAGTGCCAACTGTAAAGTTTGGTGGAGGAGGAATAATGGTCTGGGGCTGTTTGTCATGGTTCGGGCTAGGCCTTTGGTTCCAGTGAAGGGAAATCTTAACGCTACAGCATACAATGACATTGTAGACGATTCTGTGCTTCCAACTTTGTCGCAACAGTTTGGGAAAGGCCCTTTCCTGTTTCAGCATGACAATGCCCCCGTGCACAAAGCGAGGTCCATACAGAAAAATTGTTTGTCAAGATCGGTGTGAAAGAACTTGACTGGCCTGCACAGAGCGCTGACCTCAACCCCATCGAACACCTTTGGGATGAATTGGAACGCTGATTACGAGCCAGGCCTAATCGCCCAACATCAGTGCCCGACCTCACTAATGCTCTTGTGGCTGGTTGGAAGCAAGTCGTCGCAGCAATATTCCAACATCTAGTGGAAAGCCTTTCCAGAAGAGTGGAGGCTGTTATAGCAGCAAAGGGGGGACCAACTCCATATTAATGGCCATGATTTTGGAATGAGATGTTCATGTAGTGTATGTCTGGGAAACCAGCTCAAAGTATTTAGTGTATTTGGTGTGTGACTCGAAGTCTGATGATAATCACTGAGAATGCTAGAAATTCATATTTTTGATGATGGGGGGGGTTTAACATCCCCAATGTATTTCCTGTTGTGAAGGAGAATGACTGGATTGTTGTCTGGTCAGAGGTAGAAAATATCATGTGAAATGTAACCCCCCCACCATATGCTTTTCTTTCAGATCCTTGCTCTTTTCCCTTTTGATGACATCCAAATCCAGGGTAGGTCAGTGGTTAGAGTGCCATTCTGACCGTGTACTTCTCTCACCACCTGAATACTCTACAACTGGTGACATTTGACCTCTTGAACATCATCATGGAGCCTCGTCAGAAAACTGTAGCTTTACATCAATCACGTTTGTAATTTGCTATTTTTAAGGTGATTTTTCATTTATATAAATCTTCGCTACAGGGTTATTTATCGTTGTTGTGCAGTGTATATGTGAATGTGTGCGCTCTTTAGACATTCACGTTGAAAAGTTGCTTATTCTCTGCTAGCAAAGTGGTACAAAGGTGTAATATTATTTGATGGTTGATACCCGTTTTCAAATGCAGCAAAATCAGCAGGAAAATCTAATGGAGACTTAAATGATACATATTTTCTCATACAAGGTAACTGATTTACTACCAAAAACAAATGTATGAATATGAGCGGAAATAATTCAATTAAAATGTTTAATTTCCCTACAAAGTACACAGGGAATCTACCTCTTTATCACGTGTGTATAATAACAGATTATAGTGGGACATTTAGCTTCAACACATACAAAATGCATTGCTTTCGTGCTATAAATGAACATTGTTTCAGCTTTCAAATTGAAAATGTTTTTCAATTATACTTTAGTCACTGTAAATCTGTTGACATGGAGCGAAGTTCTTTATTATCATAATTTAATATCTTTCAATGTATATTTAATTGATCGGTTTCTGCTTTGAATGCATTGCCTTTCCAGTATCTGTATTGGTAAGACACATTAAACAGCTGTATTTTCGATACAGTCAAATATTCCCTATTTTACCATCTTTCTCCTCCTTCATCTCTGATAAATCAGGTATGATCCTTGTTATGGTGTACTGAATCAGACTGGCTTGTTTAGATGTTTTGCCTTCTTTTAACACTTCCAAACTCTTATATTTTGTAATAAAATAAATAAACCAATTATCGCTTCACTCTTTTTTGGGGGGGTCATTGTCAAACCTATGTTTGGAGTTTTTGTTCATTGAAGTGTGTCATATTAATTGTTTATAGATGTACATATACAGTACTGTGCTCAAAGAGGATAATACAAAAAGGGTGGCATCTGGAATTAAGGATTTTGTCAATGATGTAGATTATATACTGTAGACTATATGTTTTGTGCAAAGAATCTGGTTGGACAACATTCACATATTTTAATCCAAGTTGATAGGGCCAGTCTAGCAGGCTATTGCTGACTCCCCATATAGAGCAAATCCATCCAATAAATTGCTCTAAACATTGTAGGATGCTATCTTGGGAGAACAAAGCATCCTTGATAACTACGAAACTCCTTATTTCTTATTTTCCTGTCAGCTGCTTTTGGTAAAGCATATGTATTATTTTCCGGTTGCTTGATTCTTCCTGATAACCCTCTTTAGTACAATGAGTCTGGAAATTCCACTCACCCAGATCACTTGTCTGTTCTCTATACTCTCACGGTCTGCCCATAATGAATATTCAGACACAGGCCCAAGGCAAGACTGGGACCCGAGAATAAAGAAGTCTTTCAATGAGGCAGAGAGATTAATTTTGTTTGTGGCGAATGTTTTACCTTCTATTTGTATGTTGGCCTATTTTCTTTCACAAGCATTTGAGTGACTTATTGAAGTCATTATTTGGGCATTAACAAGACTCGTCAATACTCCAGAATAAGCCAGATAAGCAAGGCTAGTTTGTTTTTCTGAATGATTAGGAAACCACTTTAGGCAGGTGTTATCTCAGTGTAGATGAAGGGGAGGAGACAGGTTAAAGAAGGATTTTCAAGCCTTGAGACAATTGAGACATGGATTGTGTATGTGTGCCATTCAGAGAGTGAATGGGCAAGACAAAAGATGTAAGTGCTTTTCAGCGGGGAATGGTAGTAGGTACCAGGCGCACCGGTTTGAGTGTGTCAAGACCTGCAGCGCTACTGGGTTTTTGACGCTCAACAGTTCCCGTGTGTATCATGAATGGTCCACAATCCAAAGGACATCCAGCTAACTGTGGGAAGCATTGGAGTCAACATGGGCCAGCGTCCCTGTGGAACGCTTTTGACACCTTGTAGAGTCCATGCCCCGACGAATTGAGGCTGTTCTGAGGGCAAAAGGGGGTGCAACTCAATATTAGGAAGGTGTTCCTAATGTTTTGTATACTCAGTGGATATAGCTTGTAGAATGTCTGTGTTTTTGGACAGAAAAACTTCCTCATTGTCAAGATAACTGCTAAATACCTGTCAATTTGTGGAAACATCACCCTGATTAACTCTTTAGTATTATCCCAGTTTACCTATTTGCTTATGGTCTTGCCTACGCCTAGCGAACAGTTTTTAAAATTATATGAGAAAAAAATATTCAATTTTATTTGGAACAGCAAGCCAGACAAAATTTAAACGGGCCTATTTATATAATGAATATGAATTCGGAGGACGGAAATTATAAAATATTAAAGCATTAGACCTATCACTAAAAGCTTCAGTCATACAAAAGTTATACTTAAATCCAAACTGGTTCTCTAGCAAATTAGTAAGATTGTCTCACCCAATGTTCAAGAATGGTATTTTCCCCTTTTAAATTAAATTATTATATACAATTCTTGCTACCAATAGAATGTTATTTATATGGGGTATACAATCTTCCCAGCTCTGCAGATTTTGCTGCGAAGAGACAGAATAATTAGATCATTTGTTTTAGTACTGTCCATTTGTAGCTTGTTTTTGGACACAGGTCCAGGAATGGCTAAAGGATTGCAATATTTACCTGGAGCTAACCCAGCAGATAGCACTACTGGGTGATCTGAAAAGTCATAGTCAATCGATCAATAATATAATAATACTTTTAGCAAAAATATTTATTTTCAATTTACAATCTGTAGAAACAACGAGAATAGAAAGGTTCAGAACTTTTGTAAAACATCACAGTACAGTTGAAAAATATATGGCAAATAGGTGTTAAGAGATAGATGGGTGGTGTTGAATGGAGTTGAAGGATGGGACTAATAACAACTAACAACAACTAATAACAACAAGATAACTAATAATGTAAGCATACTGTGTCCATAATAAGTATATAGGTTATAGGTTGAGAGCTTTTGTGAAAGAGCACAGTTAGAAAGATATGGCATATAGAAGCAAACCGGATGGACATCATGAAAATGATCGGCGAGGTTGAGGTTAGAGGAAGTTCAGGAGTAAAAACAAACAAAATAGAATTATTGTAAAATTGACTGTGTCCATAAAATGTATATAGTATGTATAAGCTGGAAGTAGAGGCCTAAGCATTGTTGTTCACTAGTTTACGCCAATTAGGGAAGGGGTGGTGGGGTTGGAAAGTAATAAAGGGAAATATAATTTTATTAAGTGTATATATATATATATACACACTGCTCAAAAAAATAAAGGGAACACTAAAATAACATCCTAGATCTGAATGAATGAAATAATCTTATTAAATACTTTTTTCTTTACATAGTTGAATGTGCTGACAATAAAATCACACAAAAATTATCAATGGAAATCAAATTTATCAACCCATGGAGGTCTGGATTTGGAGTCACCCTCAATATTAAAGTGGAAAACCACACTACAGGCTGATCCAACTTTGATGTAATGTCCTTAAAACAAGTCAAAATGAGGCTCAGTAGTGTGTGTGGCCTCCACGTGCCTGTATGACCTCCCTACAACGCCTGGGCATGCTCCTGATGAGGTGGCGGATGGTCTCCTGAGGGATCTCCTCCCAGACCTGGACTAAAGCATCTGCCAACTCCTGGACAGTCTGTTGTGCAACGTGGCGTTGGTGGATGGAGTGAGACATGAGCCTTCAGGCTCTGATCAGTCCCTACACCCAGGCGAGGGCATTGCATTCATCCACCTCTGGCCTGCTGGCTCCCCTTCCTCTGCGGAAGCATAGTTCCCGCTCAGCCCAGTCAAAGCTGTTCGCTGCTCTGGCACCCCAATGGTGGAACAAGCTCCCTCACGACGCCAGGACAGCGGAGTCACTCACCACCTTCCGGAGACATTTGAAACCCCACCTCTTTAAGGAACACCTGGGATAGGATAAAGTAATCCTTCTACCCCCCCCCCCCCCCCAAAAAAAAAATAAGTATAATTGTAAAGTGGTTATCCCACTGGCTATAGGGTGAATGCACCAATTTGTAGTCGCTCTGGATAAGAGCGTCTGCTAAATGACGTAAATGTGCCCTTGAGCAAGGCACTTAACCCTAATTGCTCCTGTAAGTCGCTCTGGATAAGAGCGTCTGCTAAATGACTAAAATGTAAAATGTAAATGTAAACATGATGTCCCAGACATTTGTGGCCTGCTGGAGATCATTTTGCAGGGCTCTGGCAGTGCTCCTCCTGCTCCTCCTTGCACAAAGGTGGAGGTAGCGGTCCTGCTGCTGGGTTGTTGCCCTCCTACGGCCTCCTCCACGTCTCCTGATGTACTGGCCTGTCTCCTGGTAGCGCATCCATGCTCTGGACACAACGCTGACAGACACAGCAAACCTTCTTGCCACAGCTCGCATTGATGTGCCATCCAGGATGAGCTGCACTACCTGAGCCACTTGTGTGGGTTGTAGACTCCGTCTCATGCTACCACTAGAGTGAAAGCACCGCCAGCATTCAAAAGTGACCAAAACATCAGCCAGGAAGCATAGGAAGTGAGAAGTGGTCTGTGGTCACCACCTGCAAAACCAGTCCTTTATTGGGGGTGTCTTGCTAATTGCCTATATTTTCCACCTGTTGTCTATTCCATTTGCACAACAGCATGTGACATTTATTGTCAATCAGTGTTGCTTCCTAAGTGGACAGTTTGATTTCACATAAGTGTGATTGACTTGGAGTTACATTGTGTTGTTTAAGTGTTCCCTTTATTTTTTTGAGCAGTGTATATATATTTGCGAGAAAAAACACATATGGGGGATTGGAAGTGATGCAGACAGTTACATAGATGGAAGTTACAATCTATCTGCAATATTAAAGCTGATCTACCCACCCAACTCCATTCTAGATAACTGCATGTGTTTGCTAGTGTGTTGGCTTCCTCTTTTCATGTATCTTCCCAAACGTGTGGTTTTCAGTGTGGATAAATGAAAACTCCCAAATATAAATGGTTCAATACTTGAATTGCAATATGTTTTTGAAAAATATGTTGATAATATTGTTTGTATTAAATTGTCGGGAGATAGACATGCATTCTGCTTTATAAATGGGCAATTTGGTTTATATAAATCAATCTAATTCTCACAAGTTTTTGTTTTTGATTGACTCTCATGTTTTATTTGAACTAAGTAAATAGTGTAGCCTATAAATACAGTGTCACAGAGTTTCTAAATCCACAGGCGCAACATCGCGAGACTTCCGGGAACGCTTGCGAAACAGATCAGGCCAGGGTTTGGGGTTTGTGAAGTCAATGAGAGAAGTGAAAAATTACTCCTTAGATCTAAAGGCACAAACTAGATTCGAACCAATGTCTTAAGCAGTTGATGTTATTACTCTAACCTCGTGAAAGTGATAAACTGACACGTTTTCATTTTCGTCAAAAACAACTTTATATCAAAGGATTGCCTTTGAGTTGATGGCTTGCACATGCGCAGTTTGGCGTGAGACAACCGTTAGACCCAAGCATCTTTCTTTCTACGCGTGAGTTTAGCTAGCCAACGTCGCCATGAAATCGCCCACAAATGTGATCTGAGACTTTTATTGGAGAGGCCGTTTTAGCCTATCTTCATACTGTACGGTCTTGGGTACTGCTAGTAAAGTGGGCAGGTGAAAATAATCTTCCAGCCCTACAGGTGGCAATGTCGCGAGAGAGGACTACAACCTCAGCTATGTAATGAAATCCGGCTTCGCATTTTCCAGGTTTCCACTGAAGGGGCGGGGATTCTTTATTTAAGTGAACACATAGGCAATTGATAAGTTGTGAAGGCACAAAAAAGAAATTTGCTTTTACAATAAGGATTTCATCAGTTGGTTGATTTGCGTAAACGCTTCATTGCAGCCTAAGTGGTTGAGTTGTTCGGCGTGTTCGCTACGCCAGGTGTTAGACCAGAAGTGTTGGTGGGGGGAAAATGCCATCTTTTTTATGGAGGTAGGAACACATTGTGCTGATGTTGACGCCTCTAAACATTCATTTGGAATTGTATTCACTTTAAACCCAAAGTAAAGCAACATTTTATTTTATTTAGCACGGCTAACTGCCAGTTGTCAATGTGAGCGTGCCCATGTAAACAGCTGTCAGACTGGCTAGCTAGCTACCTTGAAATGTAGAGAATGTGTGTTGTGTATTCAAATTTGACACAGCCCAGATTTAAATGCCCAAATCATAGTCATTAGTTATCAGAGTTCTGTATGTATTTGTAAAGAATTGTTTGCCTTGCGTGATTTTTCTTGTCACAGGTTGTAGACTAGTTACACTGAACAGGTTAGCTAGTTAGCTTAGGTCCAAATGAATAAATGCAGAAAGAAGAACCTAGCCATTGCCAAATGTATCTGACATGTTGTCATTAATTGTTCACACGTTTCAGCTTTTAGTCCATCAGTGCTTGCTGTATAAGTTTGTAATGTGAGCCATCCCTGTCAGGTATGTGAAGAAGAGAACGTGTAAATTCAAGGCATTTATGGGCATTTAATGTCACTGTTCGATGCAAACTAAGCCATCTGCTACAACTATACTGAATAAAAATATAAACGCAACAATTAACAGTTTTACTGAGTTACAGTTCATATAAGGAAATAAGTCAATTGAAATAAATAATTAGGCCCTAATCTATGGATTTCACGACTGGGCAGGGGCGCATCCATGGGTGGGCCTGGGAGGGCAGGGGCCCACCCACTTGGGAGCCAGGCCTAGCCAATCCGATTACGTTTTCCCCCCACAAAAGGGATTTATTACAGACAGAAATACTCCAAAGTTTAATCAGCTGTTCGGGTGGCTGGTCTCAGATGATCCTGCAGGTGAAGAAGCCGGAGGTGGAGGGGTTGCACGTGGTCTGTGGTTGTGAGGCCGGTTGGGCATACTGCCAAATTCTCTAAAACTAAGTTGGAGGCGGCTTATGGTAGAGAAATTAACATGCAACTGCTCTGGTGGACATTCCTGCAGTCAGCATGCCAATTGCTCGCTCCCTCAAAACTTGAGACCTCTGTGGCATTGTGTTGTGTGACAAAGCTGCACATTTTAGTGGCCTTTTTATTGTCCGCAGCACAAGGTGCACCTGTGTAATGATCATGCTGTTTAATCAGCTTCTTGATGTGTAATGATCATGCTGTTTAATCAGCTTCTTGATATGCCACACCTGTCAGGTGGATGGATTATCTTCCAAGAAATTCCCCCACTGCATTTTTCAGCATCCTGGAACAAACCTGAATCACAGGTTCTTTAATGGCTAGATTTTTTTTAAATTAAGCTTTTTCAACCATTCTTTTCCTAATCATTCCAACAATTAGGCCTAGGCTAACTGTTGCAGTGTACCTATATAAAAGCAACACGTCCCTCTTTGCAATTGTGTAACTTTCAAAGATTAACCCTGCGATAAGTAGATGGAATCCCAGCAACTGCGGCATGATGCCTAAATGTGGCAATTTTTCCAGCTGCGGCCTGCAGGTTGGTTGGTAGCAGTGCAGAGAGGACTGCATTCCTTCATGTAATGAGCTGCTTGTTCAAAGCCCAGGTCGCACTGGGCGACGCTGCAGTGGGGGCTTCTCCTCCTGTTGCTGTGGCCTGACTGGCTGGCCTGGCCGGGGGTAGAGGCCCACACAAAGAGCCTCTGTTTGTGTGAGCCAGTCAGGCATGTAGGCAGGCCTCTGGGGAGGAGGTGGGGGCCCTCCCTTCTTCCCAGTGAAAGTGATCCACTACTGTGCCACAGCAGCCAGGGAGGGAGGCAACCTTTCACACGGCCTGATTAGGTCATCCTCCCCAGATGGGTAACGGAGAGGAGATCTGTTGGTTGGGTGCAGGTAAATGAGTGGTATCTGTGGATGGACTAGTAGGGGGCTGTTGTATAGAAAGGGATGGTCTCTTCTCTTTACTCTGCTTTCAGGCCAATGGGTGTTATGTGTTTATTATGCTTTAAATTACACTGTGTGTCCCACCTTCCAATATGACCCACCCAAGTCACATAATCTACTGAAGGCTAAAGCTGTAAATGAATACTAGAATCAAAGTTTTAGTATCTCATCAGTGAAGCTGCAGTATTTCAATCCATCACACTAAAACCACGTGGGGAAAAACATGTTACTGAGAGTTTATTATAGTTAACCAGTCTATTACATAACTTAACTGCCATGCCTCCGGTACTAATACTAGTACTTTTATCCTGTGTGTGCTGAAGGCTTTGGCCTGGCCTGGTGCTGATCCTCTTCCCGTCTACGCTGGCGGATGACAAAGAGTCTTCGCTGCTACAGGACTGGCACGACGTGTGGCTGTTCCGCTTCTTCCTCAACATGCTGGGCTACGCCACCATCATCATACCTGGCTACTTTCTCATTGGGTACTTCAAGAGGATCAACTACCTCGAAACAGGTGTGGATGATCTACAGACTGGTGATAATACACACACTGCACGCATATACACTGGCACGCACACAAATAGGCCTACAATTTTTCTCCACATGAATTCTGAATTCTATCTGTTATAACCCAGTGTATCCTTCAAGTTGCAATTCAGAGTTTCTCTATGTTAACATGATCATTGTGTTGGTTTTGATGAGTCAGTGAATGGTTGATGTGTTCTGGACCTTAAAATATCTTCCTGACTGGTGTTTTCCTTCCTCCCAGGTCGTGGCATTTGCTATCCTGTCATAAAGGCCTGTGTGTTTGGGAGTGAATCGAAGACGGGTCTCCTGGACGACGTGTCCATAGCTCAGAGAAATGACGCTGACTCGGGCTCGTCGGCCAGACAAGCCTTCAAGTTAGTCTTCTGCGCTGCGGGACTTCAGGTAAAGCACTTTGTGACGTAGTTAAAAGGGCTATATAAATCAAATGTATTCCTTTTTTTTTAATTTTTTTACATGGAAATATTACATTTACATATGTATTCAGATCCTTTACTCAGTACTTTGGGTAGATTTTATAGTTGTAGCTCTTTACACTCATACCTTTTATATGGGTTGAAAATGGCAGAATTGGGCACTGATAAGCGCATAAATTGGAACACAGTGGCTGTACAGTAACATGCTATAAATGGTCAGAGCTCAGGCTCTGCGCTTCACAGTGCTTTATGGGTTTTGACTGACAGTCTTTCTAAACTTGAGCATCTTATGGGACAAAAAGTTGCCCCCATCCCTTCCACTAATTGGGCAACTTCTGCAATTTAATTTGTTGTCTGAGTGGGGGAAATGCTGTAAATTATGTATTTTAAAAGATGAGATGTTGAGGATTATAATAAATACTGCTTTGATCTTACACAAGCAAACCATACACCTGTGAGTCCAAATGTGCACTTGACATTTCCATATCATAAAACTCATGTCATATACTGTGAACGTTTATGACCACTATGTTTGATGTAAAGTTACAAGATGACATGGCAGCATACCCTGGGTTGTTCTGAACAGAATTAGCCTATGTTTGAATATTATGAAGAAAATTCACAGCGGAACACGCACCTGAATGCATGCATGACTAGGGCTGTTACGGTGACCGTATTACCGCCAAACCGGCGGTCACAAGTCATGAAGGCAGTCAAAATCCATGTGACTGTTTAGTCACAGTAACTAGGCTTCTCCAAGCTCTGATGCTGCTGATGGTCATTAGTAGCCTACCAAACTTGCTAACTGCCTGGTACTCAGCACTCTATTGTCCCTCTAATCACTCTGACATAAATGCAAATGTTATCGAAAATCTAATCAAACACTTCAAGAGAGCCCATGAGCTCATGTTGTGCAACATTTCTATAGGCTATGCAATTGTGTGAGAAAACAGAAGGCCTTTATTAAAAAGAGGAGGATCCCATCAGCTTTCTATAGGCTAGGCCTACTATATTTATTTCTCAACTTTCCTAATATTAAGCACATTGCTTCTCTTTACAACAGGAGTATAGCTACCAGGCTGGCATGAAAATGAACCACGGGAAAAGCGTCCTCCATTCGCTATTTAAGTGCATAGATTACATATATTTTTTTCCGCTGCCCCTGTTTTGAGACAGCTGCATGATAATGGTCCATTCTTAATCCAAACAAATTCCACACATACAGTACCAGTCAAAAGTTTGGACACACCTACTCATTCAAGGGTTTTTCTTTATTTTTACGATTTTCTACATTGTAGAATAATAGTGAAGACATCAAAACTATGAAATAACACACATGGAATTATGTAGTAACCAAAAACGTGTAAAACAAATCAAAATATATTTTAGATTCTTCAAAGTAGCCTCCCTTTGCCTTGATGACAGCTTTGCACACTCTTGGCATTCTCTAAACCATCTTCACCTGGAATGTTTTTCCAACAGTCTTGAAGGAGTTCCCACATATGCTGAGCACTTGTTGGCTGCTTTTCCTTCACTCTGCGGTCCAACTCATCCCAAACCATCTCAATTGGGTTGAGGTCAGGTGATTGTGGAGGCCAGGTCATCTGATGCAGCACACCATCACTCTTCTTCTTGGTCAAATAGTCCTTACACAGCCTGGAGGTGTGATTTGGGTCATTGTCCTGTTGAAAATCAAATGATAGTCCCATTAAGCGCGAACCAAATGGGTTGGCGTATCGCTGCAGAATGCTGTGGTAGCCATTCTGGTTATGTGTGCCTTGAATTCTAAATAAATCACTGACAGTGTCACCAGCAAAGCACGCCCACCCCATAACACCACCACCTCCATGCTTTACGGTGAGAAATACACATACGGAGAGCATCCGTTCACCCACACCGCTTCTCACAAAGACACGGCGGTTGGAACCAAAAATCTCAAATTTGGACATTTCCACCGGTCTAATGTCCATTGCTCGTGTTTCTTGGCACAAGCAAGTCTCTTCTTTTTATTGGTGTCCTTTAGTAGTGGTTTCTTTGCAGCAATTCGACCATGAAGGCCTGATTCACACAGTCCCCTCTGAACAGTTGATTTTGAGATGTCTGTTACTTGAACTCTGTGAAGCATTTATTTGGTATGCAATTTCTGAGGCTGGTAACTCTAATTAATTTATCCTCTGCAGCAGAGGTAACTCTGGGTCTTCCTTTCCTGTGGCGGTCCTCATGAGAGCCAGTTTCATCATAGCGCTTGATGGTTTTTGCGACTGCACTTGAAGAAACTTTCAAAGTTTTTGAAATGTTCCGTATTGACTGACCTTCATGTCTTAAAGTAATGATGGACTGTCGTTTCTCTTTGCTTATTTGAGCTGTTCATGCCATAATATGGACTTGGTCTTTTACCAAATAGGGCTATCTTCTGTATACCACCCCTACCATGTCACAACACAGCTCATTGGCTCAAACGCATTAAGAAGGAAAGAAATTCCTCAAATTAACTTTTAACAAGGCACATCTGTTAATTGAAATACGTTCCAGGTGACTACCTCATGAAGCTGGTTGAGAGAATGCCAAGAGTGTACAAAGCTGTCATCAAGGCAAAGGGTGGCTATTTGAAGAATCTCAAATATAAAATATATTTTGATTTGTTCAACACTTTATTGGTTACTACATGATTCCATATGTTTCTTCGTAGTTTTGATGTCTTCACTATTATTCTACAATGTAAAAAATAGTAAAAATTAAGAAAAACCCTTGAATCAGTAGGTCTGTCCAAACTTTTGACTGGTACTGTATATTATTTAGAATATGTGTAGACAAGATTAAATCAAGAATAGTCTGATGGGTGACAATATTAGCCTATCACTTCTGAATTATATAATATCACTTGTGAATGATGCCCAGCGTAAGACAAGAAACTGTATTTTTTTTAGCGACTTTTTCGAATCCTAGTCACACAACGCATGTTGCCTAGCCCATAGGCCTATACAGTGCATTCGGAAAGTATTCAGACCCCTTTACTTTTTCCACATTTTGTTACGTTACAGCCTTATTCTAAAATTGATTAAATAAATAAAGATCCTCAGCAATCTACACACAATACCCCATAATGACAAAGCGAAAACAGGTTTTTAGAAATAAAAACAGAAATACCTTCTTTACATAAGTATTCAGACCCTTTGCTATGAGACTCGAAATTGAGCTCAGGTGCATCCTGTTTCCATTGATCATTCTTGAGATGTTTCTACAACTTGATTGGAGTCCACCTGTGGTAAATTCAATTGATTGGACATGATTTGGAAAGGCACATACCTGTCTATGTAAGGTCCCACAGTTGAGAGTGCATGTCAGAGCAAAAACCAGGCCATGAGGTCAAAGGAATTGTCCGTAGAGCTCTGAGACAGGATTGTGTCGAGGCATAGACCTGGGGAAAGGTACCAAAAAATGTCTGCAGCATTGTAGGTCCCGAAGAACACAGTGGCCTCCATCATTCTTAAATGGAAGAAGTTTGGAACCACCAAGACTCTTCCTAGAGCTTGCCGCCCGGCCAAACTGAGCAATCTGGGGAGAAGGACCTTGGTTAGGGAGGTGACCAAGAACCCAATGGTGACTCTGACAGAGCTCTAGAGTTCCTCTGTGGAGATGGGAGAACCTTCCAGAAGGACAACCATCTTTGCAGCACTCCACTAATCAGGCCTTTATGGGAGAGTGGCTTGACGGAAGCCACTCCTCAGTAAAAGGTACATGACAGCCCACTTGGAGTTTGCCAAAAGGCACCTAAAGACCCTCAGACCATGATAGATAAGATTCTCTGGTCTGATGAAACCAAGATTTAACTCTTTGGCCTGAATGCCAAGCGTCACGTCTGGAGGAAACCTGGCACCATCCTTACGGTGAAGCATAGTGGTGGCATTCTTTTACTTTTAGATTGGTGTGTATTGTTGTGAATTGTTAGATATTACTGCACTGTTGGAGCTAGAAACACATGCATTTCGCTACACCCACAACAACATCTGCTAAACATGTGTATGTGACCAATAAAATTTGATTTGATCATGCTGTGGGGATGTTTTTCATCGGCAGGGACTGGGAGACTAGTCAGGATCAAGGCAAAAATGAGCGGAGCAAAGTACAGAGAGATCCTTGATGAAAACCTGCTTCAGAGCGCTCAGGACCTCAGACTAGGTCGAAGGTTTACCTTCCAACAGGGAAACTATCCTAAGCACACAGCCAAAACAACGCAGGAGTGGCTTCGGGACAAGTCTCTGAATGTCCTTGAGTGGCCCAGCCAGAGCCCGGACTTGAACCTGATCGAACATCTCTGGAGAGACCTGAAAAAGCTGTGCAGCGACACTCCCCATCCAACCTGACAGAGCTTGAGAGGATCTGCAGAGAAGAATGGGAGAAACTCCCCAAATACAGGTGTGCCAAGCTTGTGGCGTCATACCCAAGAAGACTTGATGCTGTAATCACTGCCAAAGGTGCTTCAACAAAGTACTGAGTAAAGTGTCTGAATACTTATGTAAATGTGATATTTCCATGTTTTATTTTCAATATAAATTAGCAAAAATTTCTAAATGCCTGTTTTTGCTTTCTCATTATGGGGTATTGTTTGTAGATTGAGGAAAGAAAATTATTTAATCAATTTTAGAATAAGGCTGTAAAATTACAAAATGTGGAAAAAGTCAAGTGGTCTGAGTACTTTCCGAAGGTACTGTATGTTTTGATAAGGTTTTATCACAACTAAAGTGGCCAAATAACTTTTTTAAATTAAGCGCATTAATCCGCTTTACAAGGGGTGAGAGCCTAACTGGCATACATAAGCAGCGGTGAGATTCAAGTTTGGGGAAGAACATTTTCCCCATAAAAATGCACCTTTATAATAAAAGCATTACATGCATAATCGCATTTGTGGTCACTTTTTGATAATGATGTTTTCCCGCTAATGGAACATTCGCGCTTATAGCCGACTGCTGTGTGTGCATTGCTGCG